AGCCATTTGTACATATTACACATTTATCTGTCTGGTATATTGATTGGAGTTAGCACTTACTAGTCACCTGTCCCTTAGTCAAAGCCACATCCAAGTGTGAATTATTACATGTGGATTGCCTTTTTCTGTGAATTAAAATGTACCATCTAGGATTGGTCCAGGCTCTGAACCACATCCTTCCTCAAGTCTTTCCTGCCAAGATATATAGATAATAGGAGTTCCTTTCTTTAATGCTCTTTTCAGTTTTACTTCAGTTGTAATTCACCCTGGTTGTATCCCCCAAGTGTTTCATTGTAGCTTTATGCTTCTGAAACGTATACCTCTATGGAAGTTTATTCTATGAGCATGGATTTTTTGGTTTAGTTTTGGTTTGGTTTTTTATTCTTACTTTCAGCTCACTTAAGTAAGTCTCTGTTTCAACAGTCTCTCTGTTTCAAGAAAGTCTCTCTTTCTTGGACCTTGTTGGAGAGGAAGGGAAATCTAAGATGATTCCATTTGTATAAGAAGTAACTGTTTTTTAACAAGATTTATCAAGGGAATTTGAATTATGAACAACTATATTTATCTTTTAAAAATTAGTATAGAAATAAAATCTTACCATTTATGGCTTTAAAAAGAAACAACAGGCCTATCCCTATGTCCATTCCCATTTTTTGCTTTACAGAGACAAAAGTCTTATTAAAGCTGATGGGAGTTTACTCTGCACAAAGGAGTACAGGATACAAATCTATTTCCCCTTTTTCTTTCTTCTTTTTACAATTTCTGAAAATTACCATGGCTTGTTTTTGATTAGTTATATTATACTATAAATGAGTCCAGATGTTTCAGTTATTCTGTAATCTGTTAGGTTTTGGCTGAAATCATTTGAAGGGCTTTTTTCCCCTTGTAATGATTGATTTTCAAAGTGACTTCTAGTTCACCAAACTACTTTTCTCAACTAAAGATATAGCAGTTCTAAAGGTCAGATGCAAGATTGCTTAATTTAAAGTGTAGTCTGGGAAGCTTATTAAATTTCACTTTGATTGCTGCTAAAAATATGGGATTGTCCTAAAACAAAAGAAGTAGATTATATAAAACAATTAAAAGAAGTATGTTTTGTAGGAAAACTGGATGTAGTGATTTTTCAAATACCAACCTTTCTGTAAAAGAAGTTATAAAATGTGTTTTTACTCTTTAGCAGAGCCATATGCCATTTTGTATTTCTACATTTGTTTTTCAGAGAACTTTCATATAATCATCTGGAAGAATTGCCCTGTTTCACAGCTTGTGAAAAACTTCAGAAAATGTAAGATTTCTAAAATGCTTTGGATCCGTGCCCACAAGGAGCAAGCTTCCCTATCTTTTCCATACAAAGAGCTTATCTATGGATGTAGTAACCCAAACCTTTGTTTGCTTGCATTCAAATTTTGGTGTTTTTTAAATTAAAATAGCCTACCATACTGTTCAGTGTTTTGCATGTATAGTAGAGTATAAGCTCTCTGGGAAGAAACAATAATGTTTTAAGGAGCTTTTTATGGCAGAAGAGTGTTTGAAAAAGTTCCAGACTTTAATACTGGAGGTTCTGTTACTTTTCTTACCTTACCTGAGGAGAATTTTCAAAAGCAAGATTGTGCCGTGCTATAGTATAGAAGTCTAAAATTCTTCAGTAATCCTAAAAGTTACTCTTGGATTTTGGGCAGCAAAACAGTAAAAAGTTTTTTATCTATAAATTCATTTTTTGCCATTTCAGTTCTTTACATCACAATGAAATATATGAAATCCAAGCAGGTACATTTCAGCAGCTGGCTGCCCTCCGTTCCCTGTGAGTATTGCCATAAAATAGTTATTTACAGTGCTTGATATTGAGTGGCATGGAAGCTCACATTCCTTTCTCCTGCCTGATCTTACATATTTTGGTTTTTATTTTTTTCCCTTTGACTGTTCAAATTGCTGCATTAGATTTGCCAAAATAAAACAAATGTTCTGACGTTGAGAATTTCCAGCAGCGAATTCACCCAGACATGCACCAAAGAAGAAAAGCACCTTTGAAGTAGCTTTCACTTGTAGACATTACTGAAGAATAATAAATTTGAATTATTCATGTAAAACCTTTTGTTACTACTCTGATGAATAGAAAAGCTAAGTGACTTTTCTTCAGATTACAATATTGCAGAAGGGGCAGACTTTGCAATGCCCAAAAGTAAACAGTCTTGTAGAATTTAACAAAAACAGAATGAACTGGGAAGCTTTGAACAGTATGCTTGCAAATCCTTTTGTTGCATTATGCCTATGATAATGAAACCTTGCCTCAAATAAGCATACAGTATGTATACTAGAGGTAGGGCACAGAAAAAATGTGGGAGAAAACATTCCAAAAAGGAGAAAATTGGACAAAACTGACAGGAAAGGACAGAGAAACAGATGTACCAAAGTGAAAAAGAGAAGCAGTGGAAAGTCCCATTTAAACCCTCCAGTGGGCTTCACTAATTGAAATACGTACACATACAGGCACGCTCTTCTGCCTATCGTTGATTCTCTTGCATAGCTTAGTAAAGATCTCAACTAGACAACCATGGTTTAAATGCTACCTATGAACCATAATTGCAGATCCTATTTTGATTCTGACTACCAAGCCAGATTAATAAACAGTAGTTAAAAGGCATTTTCCATTCAGACAGCAAGAAGATTTAGTACGTGAGAAGTGTTCTTTGAGCATGGATGTGTGAGAGACAAAGGGAAAATTATTGGAAGGAGTGAGAACTAAAGCTTGCCACTTCTTTACATGATTTGTAGGAACAGCATCACATTTCAATTAGGATAGAGATTGCCCATCAATTCCTGACTTGGTAGGGAGGGAGTCAATTCGGGAAGGAATATGTGCATGTGAATTACCAGCTTAAACTTTGATTGAAAATATTAAATTTGACACTAATGAATTTTTACTTGGGAAAAAAAGCTTTGTGACACTTAACAATTAAGGGAACTTCAATGCCATGACTGTTTCTGCTTTCAATGCCTCAAAAGTAGTTTGGAGATGATCTGAGACTGTCTTTACTGCCACTAATGTGGCAAAGCTGAGAACAAGGCACAAAGATCATTGCCTTGGCCCAGGCCGCTGCAAGTCCTGGAGTAACAAACGTACCCTCACCTTCACTCCAAACAAAATGAAAACAAACTGCTTGCAAGCATGAATGTTGATCATCCATGTCTTTGTTCCATCTTGTTTTTGCGTGATCTATGCAATCAAGCTACATTTCTATTGGAATGTCCTGCTTGAGTGGTTGAAACCCAGGAGCAAAAAATGGGATAAAGCAAATGGGGAAACATAATCCACAAGCTTTGTAGCATTGTAGCATCACAAAGAAAACATCAACAGCTTCAATTTCAAATAACCTACAATGGATCCAAGGGGGAGGCGGGGGGGAACTACCTGTCAAAACTAGTAGAAATTGTATGATTGCACAGATCCAAAGCTGGTTCTGAAATGGTGGTGTTCTTGTATGTTGGTACCTTAAGAATTTATTCTCATGCAAGCTTTTCCCAATCCATTTCATCATTAATTTAGGCACATTTTTCTCTGAAAGGCTTAAGATTATTATTGGAAGCAATTTCTTGCTGTTAATTATTTTAATGGAAAGATTGAACACTATGCATTACTAAGCATATATCATTTTATTTCTTCTTGTAGGGATTTAGCTTGGAACAAAATCTCCATCATTCATGCCAATGCATTTTCCTCTTTACTGTCCCTTATTAAAATGTAAGTATCTGGTTATTCTTCTTATTTTAATGTTTGATCCTATGATCATTGAAATATAGGGGGGAGGGGGAAAATACCTATAGTCACTGTAAAATAGATTTTTGAAGAACAATATAAAAAGTGAAGCAGTTCTTTCCCTTTAACTGAACAATAGTTTTACTTTTTTTATAATAACTTTATTAAATTTTAAAAGAACAATAAAAACTGACCAAAACTAATATTAATAAAGAATGAAAAAAAGAAGGAACTGGCAACATACATCAAACTCTTACTCTAAATTTACAGCATGCTGTAACTTCCATTATTTCTATTAACCCATAACTGAACAATAATTTTACAGTTCTGTACTGCTGATCATTTCAGTTAGTGCTGGAGAAGAATCCTACATCAGAAATTATCAGCATCAACTTGCTATTTCTAAGTTTAAACTGGTCTTCTGTGAGATGTAGTAATTAAACTGACACTGTCCTTATGAAAATTAAATGGAAGGAATCTTAGGATATGATAGGGCAAACTGAAATGCTTCAGACTAAATGAAACTTCTTATAGCCATACAAGAAGTTGTTTCCAAAGGTGCCCTTCCTCTCTCTATGGGAGTCTCCCTGCTAATAGTAGAGATATTTTATATCTTATAATGGACTGTTTATAGTAGAAGTGGAATGCAGAAATGTTTCCTCCGTGTATGAGAACTGCCATTAAACCTGTTAGATGTTATATGAATGCCCAGATGTGTAGTGGTTAAAGTATTGAACCAGAACCAGGGAGAATAAATTTTTAGCCCACCCTCACCCATGTAAGCTCACTGGGTGATGTGGGGGCCAGTCTTTCACTCTCTCAACCCAATCAAACTCATGGGGTTCTTGTTGGGAAAAATCTGGAGGAAGGAATGTTATTTACCTCTCTTCTGGAAGAAAAGTGTGATATAAAACCAATAAATAAATTGGAAGATTCAGAACTGTTCTCGAGTCTGGAGGAAAGCACACAGCTTCAAGAACCATTGCTCCTACATTGTTCTCTTTGCTGTGCAAAAACCAGTCAAATTGTTGCCCTGACATGAAGGTAGGGCTGTGGGCTGTGAGCGAAACACAGACTTAAGGGCGGATTTAGGGAGAGGAGAGGAGGAAGGAAGGTGAAGGATTCCTGTCCCCCTAGGTTTCTGCCTATCTTGCATGTGTGGAGCTTTCTAGAATGGAGAAAAATCTTGCTGTTTTCTCTTCTGTCCAGCAGATGAGGAGGCTTGCTGGAGAGGAATGAAACCAAGCAGCAGAGGTTACTGGTAGGAATAGCAGCTGTGTACAGTATCTTTCGCTAGCTTGCTACTCCTATCTGAGCCTTAAAAAATCAAAAGGAAACTGGTTGCTGGGAAGGTTTTCTCAGCAGCTGCAGTGGGCCAGTTGGAGTCCTGCAGATCACCAAGCTCCTTCAGGTTCCATCTCCATGCAAATCAGAATTTTGCATGGGAAATTGTATTGTATTCCAGTGGAAAACACTACTTTCTTATCAAATCACAGTGGCAGGCTGGCATCAAGATAGAGGCAAAGACAGGGTGAAAAGAATGGGTTTTGCTTAAGAAATTTTTAGGCACTTGGGAAAATTAGGAAAGTTGGGTTGCATCTTTGAACGCTTTGATCCTGGATGCCACATGGCTTGGCCTTTTCCTTTCTGCTGTTTAACATGTACAGGAAGATCTTGGGAGAAGCCATCCATCAGCACAGTATCATCAGTATGAGGATGATTCCAAGTTATAATTTTCCCCCTCCACCCAGGCTGGCCTAGAAATGCAGTGGAGGTCCTGACCTGGTGTCTGGAGGTTTTTAGGTCTGGGTAAGGAAAAATAGATTCAAGCTGAATCCTAGCAAGACAGAGGAGCAAGATGACTGGTTCCAAAGATATAGTCATCTTTAGTTCTGGATGGAGTTGTGCTCCCCATAAGGGAACTGGCTCACAGCTCATGCATTCTCCTGGACTTGTGGCTCCTCCTTGAACAGCAGCTGGAGGCCATGGCTAGGAATATCTTTGCACTACTGCATCTTGTGCACCAACTGCAATGACCTCTACTGGAAGATCATTTGGAAGTTTCAGTTGGGTTAGTACTGCAGTGACCCAAGGAATCATGGGCCAGATTTGCATAAGTAACACCATTACTAAGGAAGCATTGGCTTCCAGTAAGCTTCTGCATGCAATTAAATGTACTGTACAGTATGTCACCTTTAAAGGCCTATATGTCTCAGGGCCTGGGTGCCTCTGAGACTGAATCTGCATGTCCAGTGAGACCTGGGAGAGAAGGCTTATTGAGTGCTCAGAGCCTTCAGGGATTGAATGGCACAGAAACTGGAGACAGAGAGAAACAGACAGTTTGAGTGACGCCTAAGAAAATATAACTTTAAAGTGTCCAAAGCTTCACAAAGAACTGTTACATGTAAAAACTAAAGGGAGAGTCTGCTAAACTGTGTTCTTGGATTCTGTTATTTGCAGTGGACCTTGTACAACAGGACTGTACATTGTTGTGAAATAACTTTAGTCTATGAACCCAAGAATAGGGAGAGAGAAAGAGGGAGACAGAAATTTATTTAACTGAATGCAGATCAATGTTTCTGAAGGTAGAGTATATATTTTTCTGAAGTAATATTTATGTTAGTTTAATAATCTAAAAAATATTCACAAATGGGAGAAAATCCTGTTCTAGAACTGTAAGCTGATTTTTTGCTGTTTTTATTTTGTTATTTTGTAGGGATCTGTCATCCAATCTTTTGTCTTCTTTTCCTGTTACTGGTCTGTATGGTTTAACTCATCTAAAATTAACAGGAAATTATGCACTACAAAGTTTGGTATCATCTGAAAACTTTCCAGAACTCAAGTGAGTACCTCATTAAAATTAATAGGGCACAGTTGTGCTCATGTGCAATGGAAGGAGTGTCACCGTATGTGTGCTACTTCCTATTCAAAGTCTTTGAAATGCAACATTCAAACTAAGCCATACATGGTAAGAATGATAGCCTTACTATATCCTTTTTTATCTTGAGAAAATATAATTGATTTTGAACACCTTAGCTCATTCGTAAATGCACCTGCTTTTCAGCAGTATACTTCCAAATATATTTATACATGGCAACTTTTCTTAAAAGTACTTTATATAAATTATACAGTATACTGGAATGCTTCCTTCTACTTAAATATTGTTTCATAAACTACCACGATTTTAAAATGGAAGTAATATATCAATGTGGGAGGGAAGGGGAGAAGAAGAGAAAACACACTTATATAGTTAGTTCACTGATAGAAGTAAAATACTTTGTCATATTCATTTAATAATAAAGAAACCTGTCCTAACTAAATCAAAAGTGAGAGAGATTGTTAATGCCCTGTTCTTTTGGCAGACTGTTGGTATCTAAGAACATATAACATATAACTATATTTTAGAACTGCCAAAACAGACACAGGATCATAATGCATTGCACTGTATCTGTATCCTGAACTAATATGGGATATTTAGCTAGCATGGAAGGGTGCTTAGTATATCTGCCATAATGCCAATCATCATCAAAGGAAATATGTTTGTAAATATCAGGTAATGAGTGCCAAACATCACAATATAGTGTGACTATCAGAGAATATGCTGTTCTTAATAGTCAGTCAGCAGTAAATGGTAATGGAGCACAGTCATTTCTTATTGTGTCCACTTTGCTTTTAAGATTTTTCCTTTAAATGATCTCGGTATAGTTATAAACCTTGTGATTCTCTCAAGCCTGAGATATCTTCATCCTGTGTGAAAGAGGTAAAAGAACACTCACAACATTAGCACTGGAAATAAAGGGAATGATGACAACATATACACAATGTTCTGAAGCACACAGGGTTTTGAAGAATGGTCCACTAAATTTCAGATATCTGTCAGAGTCCTGAGTTTCTATTGATTCAGTGTAATATTAAATACCAGTTTGACAAAAAGGTCAACTAAATGTACTGAGACATGCTAATGTATGTAAACAGTCTGGTTTACATCTGTATAGTAAAATGAATGTGTGTAACCAGATATGTCTGTTATTCTTTAGGGTGATAGAAATGCCTTATGCTTATCAGTGTTGTGCCTTTAGAGCACATGACAACTACTATAAAATCCAAAAGCAATTGAACAAAGATAAGAATGGTAGTGCTGATGAATTTCAAAGTACAGATGTTGGCAGTTTCCATACAAACGGTAAGCACAGTAAACATTACAAATTAAAGCACATTAAAAAGAAGGGATTTGCTTCGAATTAAGCTATCATAATTGGTGATCAAATAAATGTATGTATTTCTTATTTTACCATTTAATAGCAGAATATCAATGCAATAAAACTACCTGAGATGCCACTAATCCCTGTAAGTCTGCATTTTAAAATTTTCTTCTAATCAGGCTGCAAATAGCTTGAGGTGGTAAAGAGTTTACATTTCCTACAGTGTGTGTATGGCTTGGTAAAAGAGAGTTATCCTAAGTAACCTAAATGACCTTTCCAATTCTATGGTTCTAAGGATATGTGAAGCAGACAAATGTGAAGTTTGATTAAGGTTAAAAAGCTCATAATTCTCTCTATAACTACACATTAAATATTATTATCAGTATCAGTAACTGAATACTGTGATTTTCCTTCCTATAGATGAACATGATTTTGAGGATTTGTCTCTTGACTTCAATGAAGATTTGAAAACTCATCATTCAGTTCAGTGCTCTCCTTCTCCAGGTAATAACAGAACTGTATGAGCAGAATTGTGAGTGTGTGTTTATGAAAGAGTTTTTTCTGTGAAATTATTTTATGCTTTCTAGGGGAAAAAGAATCCTCTTAGAAGGCTACATGGAATGCATGGGTATGCATCAGTGGTAAAGGGCATATTTTCATTTCTTATTCATTTATTTTTTAAAAAATGACTAGCTCCTCTGTAAGTATCAGTTGTCTGGGCTGGGTACAATACTATCACAACACACATACACACACATGAAACAAACCAAAACATAATGAAGCAAAGCATAAATTAAAATGATTTTAAAAGCCACAATCAAAAAGAAAAAAAAACACTTAAAAATACAATATAACAACAGAAATTCCAGAGAATTGAATTGTTGAGAATGATAATTTAAACAGTCTTTATGTACCACTGAAAAAATAGTCCAGTATTGCAATTTTTATGATCTAGAAATTCCATTGCCAGAGGTTTTCACTTAGAAAGGTCCAAAGTACAATTCCTGGTATTTCTGGAGAACTGAATTCCTGGGGAACTAGTACCTAACATTTACCCAGTGTCTACTTGAAAGCAAAATAAAGATAAGGTTAGTTTGCCATTAGTATATTGTAAAGAATAAGATAGAAGCATCACCTATCCTATTCCCGTTCAACAAACATTCCCAAAAGGGAGGAAATAGTATTGTAACTAGATGAGAAAGAGGTAACAAGGTTTACTTCTAAGAACATAACTTCAATTTAGAGTCTAAAAAGACTGAAGGGAAAAGTAGATATATTGCTTTTGCTGTAAACTAGTTGTGCTGAATTTAGAATAGCATTAAATGTATAAATAATGATTTTCCGGCCAGTTTATTTTGCTTTTAATTGTAATTTATTCTGTATTAGTTTTATATTGTATGGTTTTAATATGTAATTCAGCCAAAAAATTTCTTATTATGGGAAGCATAAAAATGCTATGATTGCATAAATAAGGCTTGAAACAGAAAGTGTTTTAATAGCAGGCTGGAACAAATATGAGATATTCTGAAACTCAATGATTTTCCACTTTTTAGAACAAAATATCAGCAAATGTGGTGTCTAGCAAGTAATAAAATACTCTGTGACATTCCATGGGTTCCTGAATTGCAGTTCCCAGTGTTTTGAGAAAACATGGTCAATGGTGAAGGATGCTAGGAGTTGTAGCTCAGTTGTAAACTGATTACCCTCGCTGCAGTCTATTTCTCAGTGTAGCTGCCACAAAAAGTAATGAAAACTGGACATAGCTAAGCTTACCATGACTTTACTTTTTCTGTCTTTTTTTTTGTAGGACCTTTCAAGCCCTGTGATTGCCTCTTTGGTAGCTGGCTGATCAGAGTTGGAGTTTGGACTATAGTACTTTTAGCCTTCATTTGTAATATATTGGTGATTGCAACAATCTTCCAAATTCCACTGTACATCTCCTCCATAAAGTTTCTGATTGGATTAATAGCTATTGTAAATACTCTCATGGTTGTGTCTAGCGGTGTGCTTGCTAGTGTGGATGCATTAACCTATGGAGTCTTTGCTCAGTATGGCACTTGGTGGGAAGATGGAATTGTTTGCCACATCATTGGCATTCTCTCCATCTTTGCTTCAGAAACTTCTGTTTTCTTGCTCACCTTAGCAACTGTTGAGCATGTGTTCTCTGTGAAATACAGAACAAAGTTTGAAACCAAACCCACCTTAGCTAACATAAAAATAGCCATCATCTTTTGTTTTGTACTGGCTTTAATCATTGCTGTGATTCCAGTGCTCAGTGGCAGTGAATATGGAGTTTCTCCCCTATGCATACCCCTACCTTTTGGGAGACCATCAGGTGTGGGTTATATGGTAGCAATGGTCTTAATGAACTCTTTTTGTTTTCTTGTAATGACAATAGCATATACAAAACTCTACTGTAGTCTGGATAAGGGAGAAATGGACAATATTTTGGACTGTTCCATGGTCAAACACGTAGCCTTATTACTTTTTATTAACTGCATTCTCTATTGTCCTGTGGCCATCTTATCATTTTCATCATTATTAAACCTTCATTTTATTAGCCCAGAAGTCATCAAACCAATACTTTTAGTGATTGTTCCCCTTCCTGCATGTTTAAACCCACTTCTCTACATACTTTTTAATCCTCATTTCCGGAAAGACCTGAGAAGCTTTCAAAAGCAGTCATTTGATTGGAAAATATCAAAACATGCTAGTCTGGTCTCTATGAATTCAGAGGATGCAGAGAAACAGTCATGTAATTCAACCCAAGCTCTAGTAACCTTTGCAAGTACCAGAATATCATATGATATTGTTCCCAGCAATCCAGTAGTGCCATCATCCTGCCAATTGAATGAAAGTTGCAACCTTTCATCAGTCACATTTGTCCCATACCGTTAACTTCATCTCAGAGGTATCTGTGAGGTGTACAAAATAAATAGGTGAATTGAATGTGTATGTATTGCTTATAAAGAAAGAGAGCAATAACCAACCATTCTTATTTTATGGAAAAGAAAACTGGAATTATGATATTTCAGTAAACACACATCATTAGCTGCTTTTTCAAAAATACGCATGTCAGTTATCATTTAGTATCCTGAAAAATTCCAAAGCCCACTAGCATTTATGCTATTGACTTGGAACTTTGGAAAACTCGAAGGAAAAAAAAAGTAGATTCCAAGTAAAGTAAGTAAAGATCCCTCTTGGGATCTTTTTGTTGTTTTAATGAAACTTCCACTCAACTATTTTGCCAAGTAAAGAGGTAATAATATACCAAAAAAGCCTACATACAAATAGTCCTTGCTTACTGACTGCCTCATTTAGTGATTGTTCAAAGTTATGATGGTATTAAAAAAAACAGCTTTGGACCAGTCCTTGCATTTACAACTGTTGCAGTATCCCATGGTCACGTGTTCACCACTCACATACTTCACAACTGACTTCCGACAAACAGAGTTAATTGAGAATGCAAAAGTAAAATTGCAAGTCATGGTCATGTGATGTCTCGCTTAACCACCAAATAGGAAGTGATGTTGTAAGCTTGTTGCAGTCCCATGATTTTCTACTTAGTGTCCGTGGCACTTAGCGACAGAGTTGCCAGTCCCAATTGTAGTCACTTAAGCAAGGACTTCCTAGTATTCTTAATGCACAATATATACCTGAGCTGCCCTGAATATTCTTTTTGTAATATGTGTGAAAGTCAAGAGCATTACATGGATAAGGGTATCCTGAAAAGTGAAAATACTAAATAGAAATGGCTTCTGGTCTTTGCATAACTTGTTGGCATCTGGCATCTGAGATTCAGCTTTATCAATAGAGGCAAATATGTGTAGCTCAGGGTTGAACTGTGGAGTCCTTGGGGTTCTCTAAGCTTGGTTTTTTTCTTGTAAACGTTTCATTACCTGGCTAGGTAACATCTTCAGGGCAAGATGTTACCTAGCCAGGTAATGAAACGTTTGCAAGAAAAGAACGAAGCTCAGACAACCCTAAGGACTCCACAATTCAGCTTTATCTTTGGATATCTATTAACAGTAGTGGACTTATTTAGAAGAGTCATAGGAAAGATATAAGTAGGGTAACTTATATGACTTGCAGTTCTGTATCAATTTACCCAGTTGACTTGTGCATTCGTGGGAAATAACATGAATGAATTATGCACAAAATATATATTTTTAAAAGCTTATATTTTCAAACAGTGCACCATGGAGCTGTAAATCTATTCTTCAAGCCATTTCAAATTAAGAGATCATCTGACAGTTGTTGAAAACATCTTACTACATTTATTTAATCTTTTACAGTGGTTTGATAATATGTAAATTTTCCTCTTATGAGTGTATTTGTATACAAGTTTAAGAAGTAAAAGAAAAAAAACTAAGGGATGAGTTTCTTTAATGTTAAAAATAAACAGCAGATAACATTATAAATCAGGATACAATGCATAATATTGTATAAGCAAGCTAAATTGCTTAAAAATAATTCAAGTACAAGTAGTCCTCAGCTTCAACCATTCATTTAATGACCATTCGAAGTTACGACAGTATTGAAATAAGTGCCTTACAACTGGTCCTCACACTTATGACCATTGCAGTGTCCATGGTCTCATGATCAAAGTTCAGGCACTTGGCAACAGGCATGTATTTACAATAGTTGCAACATCACGGGATCATGTGATAGCCATTTGTAACCTTCCCAGGGGACTTCTGACAAGCAAAGTCAATGGGGGAAGCTGGATTCAGGTAATGACTGTGTGATTCACCAAACGACCATGGTGATTCACTTAACAACCATGGCAAAAAAAGTTGTAAAATTGGGCATGACTCACTTAACAACCGTATCACTTAGTGATGGAAGTTCCAGTCCCAATTGTGGTCGTAAATTGAGGACTACCTGTATTTAATTTGGAAATATTAAAATTCTTTTCAGAGAAGATTTTAAAATACAATGTGTAAATATAGAAATGTATTTATCATTACAGCAAAATCATATCAAAATATAAGAATAAGGCATGTACAGTTTCATATTGCTTAATTTACTAGATTTCTATTTCTAGCTCATATTTGATTAAATTTGTGATCTGTAAATATGTAAATTTGTAGTGATTGTAAATACTGTGGGGGGTTTTCTACTGATGTTTCAAACATGTAATTTGTAATAAAATTTGCAATTACCCTTGAAGGATGCTTTAGTGCTTTAATTCTCAGAGATATTTGGCAGTAATTCCAGAATATTCTCCAAAATTCTTGTAATTTAAATTACAAAATGATGTTTGTGGGGGGTTTTTTCATCAGAAAAAAATAACCCAAACTTTCTCTTAGTATATACTAGTGTAGGCTTTCATGGCCAGTATCTCATTGAGCTTTAGTGTTTAGTGACTGTGATCTACACAGCAGATTTCCTGATGTTTTGCTTGCAACTGTGGTTGGCATCTTTAGAGACAAGGTGGTCTGTTAAACAGCTGAGTAGGGACTGACTGATCTCCTGTCTTTATAGGCAGATGACCTGACTTCTGATTGGTCTTTAACTGAGCTAGTTTCAGATTAGTGCAAGTTGTCCCTCTTCACTAATGTGCTTATCAAGTAAACATTACTACCTGTCAAAGAAATCTTCCTTGAAGATATCACCAACCTGTATACTACACCAGTATATTGTTTGCCTGTGCAGGAAGGATGTTTCTAACAACTACAAGACTGGAAGCTCTCAGAAGCAAGAAAGCCCATCTTTTTTGTCCCTTCACGTTTTCACTTTGATGCCGAAACTCCACAACAATTCCAAGCTTCCTGAAAATGAAAAGAATCTTCAAATGTCCACAGTCTCACCAGATATACAAATCCATGGAGTGCAGTCCCTGCTCAGTTGTCTGTGGTCTGCATAATGGACCACCTTGCCTCTGAAGAGGCAACTGTCTCTTAGTATATCCATGGACATCCTCAGGGTGGGGGGAATAACTATATCTGTAAAATTGCATCATGTAAATACCTCAATCTATATATTTTTGTTAGACACGATGCAAGTATGTAATTGTAGTATTCACATGAGGATGTCATCATATGTCTCATCATTTTGGTGTCACTGTGGTTTGTTACAGATGCTGCTGAATTTATTTAATCTATCTCACATGTTAAAGAAGGTGTATTCTTCATTTTTCTAGATTGCAGTTTTGGTTGCCATAACAAACAGCTCATAAAAACATCTGTCATCTGAGATTGCACAAAAAATTATTTTACAATAATCCAGTAGTAGTTACATTAGCTGCCATAAAGAATTTCAAATCATATACCAGCCAAGACTAATCCTAATTACTTAGTAAAAGAATCTCAAGGATTCCTCCCAAGAATTACTTCTATCTTATTGTTATATCCTACATTAATAAATTTTTATAATTTATTTTAAAAATATTACAGTCAATATAACATCTGAAATATAATATTTTAAGCTCATGATGGGAATAGCTATATCTACAGAACTCTTGGATGTGTATTATGACTGGAAACAGAATGTGTGTAGTAGATAACAGAACACATGTGTGATTAAACATCATACTTGCTTAATATTTCTTAGAATTACAGAGGGCATTTAAATTCATAGCTACTTTTCTGACTAGAGAACATATACAACTATCCATGGCTTTCATCATATATTAAACAATAAACATGTTTCCCACTGAAAAATATAAGCAAACTCTAATGTTTAAGGGCATATTATTTTAGTCACACAAAAAGGCAACTTCTGAAAGCTGGAGAAGAAGGGGCAGCTTAGAAGAAGAGATTTCCAAGTTCCACAATACAGCTGGTCAGATGTGTATGTTTAGGCCCTGGAAGAACAATTAAAATCTATTTTCCATTTAGAAAGAGCACAGGTACTTGTCTGAACCACAGAACTCTGCAGGAGGTCACACTACAGTACACCGGTCATTTGGAAAGCAGGTAGGATCCAAGTGCAATCATGATGCAGTTCAATGTCTTTGGTCTACAGTATTATTCCGGCAATCCATTTTGGCTCCAGTCCTATAGTCCCCACTGGATGCTGTAGGGGCATAAGAATTTTCCAGATTTTTCCCTTGAAGTAAAGCAAGTGGTCCAATCTTGGGGAATAAGGGGAAGATTCTCAATTTTGTTAATCTCGGAAATGAAAAGTGGCAGTCCATGCTTTTCTACCTCTAGAAATTTTATGTTGGAAGTACAAAAAGGAAGCATTTCAGAATTTAATTTCTCTCCCCCTAGCATCAGTGAGAAAAGTTGAAGAAATAACAAAATAAAGCAGCCATGCCTTTTGGCTACTCCTCTTTGTCAAAGGGGGTATCAGCCTAGAGTCCTCAAAATGAATAATGATGATGCTTACAGTCAAATTACACAGCCCACACTGGGAGTACAATAGTAGAACAATTTTGGCAGATTTGGAATAGGAAGAGAACAAAGGGATCAGTAGCTTGAGATGAAAAAGCATGCCTTTTCTGTTGCAGCCCCTGCTGTATGAAATATTCTCCCCCTGGAGATCTGACAGGCCCCCATTCTTTTAACCTTCCGGAGAGCACTCAAGACTTGGCTTTTCCCCCAGGTGCTGGGATAGGGTGAGGCCATAGTGGGAGGAGAAAGTGATGAGTGGCAGCAGGGTTCTATGGTTGTGGCGCCAGTCAGGTTAAATCTTTATTACAGTCATAGATCAGCATAAAGAGGGTAGGGTACAGTCAAGTAAATTAAATAGAGGATACATCAGAGTCTAAAAAAATATGAAAAGCTAGAAGATATAAAAGACATATGTGTTAAAACAGAAAGTTTATATAAAAAACAAGAGTCTAAAAGAATCTAAAAGAAGAGGTAGGAGCATTAGATGGGTGTAGCATAAAAGGTTAGTAAGTGGAAGACTACATCTATCAACTTACAGAGCACTCTAATATGGTGAATTGGTGCTCATTGAGTCTAGTATTTGACAGAGGTCATCATATGATAAATTTTGAGCAATGCTGCACAAAACCTGGCAACATTGTATGTTGTGGCAGGGTTGATATCTGAAAGAAGCAGGGAGGTGTAGAATTGTCCTGGATGCCCACGGTATTTATGCACTAATGGTGACAAGAGGCTGGTACAAATGTCTCTGTAGTACAGGCACTGGAGAAGAACGTGCTCTGCTGTTTCTGTGTGTCCAGAGTCACAGGGTATTGTCTCTCTAAGTGAGGAATTTCCCCATATCGGCCTTCAAGGACAGCTGAGGGGTGCAGCATCAGGTTTTTTTTATTTTTCCTGTTTTGGGTTTTATTGTTTGTTTTAGCTGTAAATGCTGTTTTTATTGTTAGCTTTGTAAGCTGGGTTGTAAGAGTTTGATTTTAAGATGGGTAGCTGTGCAAATGTTATGAATGAATGAATGAATGAATGAATGAATGAATGAATGAATGAATGAATGAATTAAAAGGTATCCTCCTTTGGATTCATGGATACTTGACTGAATTAAAACTAAGGGTCATAAGAGACTCAGTTTGGTGTAGAGGTTAAAGGCACCAGGATAGAAACTGGGAAACTGAGTTCTAGTCCTGCCTTGGGTGTGAAGCCAGCTGCTTGACTGTGGGCCAGTCATTTTCTTTCAGCCCTAGGAAGAAGGCAAGGGCAAACCACTTCTGAAAAAATCTTGCCAAGAAAACTGCATGGGCAAGGCTGACTCAAAGGCACCAGAAGAGCATCATAAATGACAAAAAATAAAGAGGTTTGTCAAGTACCAGAAGAGCTGCCAAGGTGGTGCTTTATCAATTTGAAAGGGAGACCTTCAGCATTGGACCACCCATCTAACTACAGCTCTAGGTTGACCACCTAAAATCTATCCTCATGGATTCTTTATAAGGTTTTCAACTTGAGCTGTCAGAAATGTTTATATACATCTAGCATTCCCAAACT